AAAAAAYYYAAAAAAAAAGACTTTCCAGGTCGTTGCAGGTTTTACAGCGGGGTGCCATTTTCCAATAACAAATAACTTTGTCTCAGCTCATGATAAAATCAAAGTAAACACTGGCAAGTTGTAACATTGGAGATTATTTGATTAAACATTRACTTCAACCAGAGTTTTAAAGAAACTAAGTACAAAGACTTTGTTACTGTAAAGTAGAATTTCTGAGTATCTACTTTATCGGAGTAATTATTTTTCAGCCTACTTTTTACTTCTACTTCTTACATTTTCACACAATTATCTGTACTTTCTACTCCTTGCATTTTTTTWAAAAAAGGCAAGAAGTAGAAAGTCATTACTTTTATTTCATTTTTGCTTGTTTTCATTCCAGCTTGTTAATGTAAAAAATAAATACTATCCATATAAATTGTGCCTCCTAGATAGAGTGAATTTAACTGTGGATGAATGAGAAGTATAAATATATAAAATTCTTATACCATATTAGTTTGTACACAAACACATCATGTCACACTCCAGCAGGACATAATCATTAAAATAAAAGGACTGTACTTAAGAAGTATTTGTATTTCATGAATTATATTATTACATTTGACCACAGCTCTCAGATAGATTTTCATTTTGGGGAAAAGGTTTGTGCAGCCTTGATATATGTATATAAACTGAAACAGCTGGACTAGTGCATCCTACATTTAACATATATTAATTYTTTTTAATATGATACAGTCATTTCTGCATTTTTTGGGGAGGTCACCTCCTAATAAATGCCATTACAGAAAATCTAACTGCTCATTTTAAATCAATACTTTTAATACTTAATTACAAAAAATATCGGATTAATYCTTTTACTCAAGTAATATTCCTAAAGGAGACTTTAGCTTTTGCCAAAGTAATTTTTTGGTAAGATACTTGTACTTTTACTCAAGTATCACTTTGTAGTACTTTATACAACACTGACTTCAACTAAAAAAATACCATAGGCTTCTTTAGTTTTTATAAATTAAAAAAAACTCTATTGTCACATGGACGGTGCCATATCATTTGCCCTGTCTGCTTTGATGAGTCTTTGCCAGTCTTAGAGATGGTTCAGCTTAGAGCAGTTTCTGAAATAATTAGACTAACCTGTCTGGCATCAACACTCACGCCACATTCTAAGTCACTCCAATCCTTTTTTCTTCTTCCTCATTCTGATGCTCGGTTTGAACTTCAGCAAGATGTCTTCATAATGTCAAGATCAGTGGTGCCCAATCCTGGTCATTCAGGGCCACTATCCTGCTTGTTTTAGACAGGATTTTTTTCTGTTTTGACACATCTGATTTGAACGAATAGGTAAAGATGTGCTGAAGAGCAGGGAAACAACTAAAACATGCAAGATAGTTGCCCTCGAGAACCAGGATCGGACACCACTGGTCCAGATGCCAAAAGTACAACGAGTTGCTGCCACGCAATTGGCTAATAAGATATTTGTGTTAACAAGCAATTGAACAGGTGTACGTATTAAAGTAGCTGGTGAGTAGGCCTTCACCACACTTCAGGTATTAAAGTCCTGATCATCAGATCTGTTCATGAATGGTTTTCTGAGTTGAAAAGTCTCATCTGTGCTTGATTGTTCAAATTGCAAGTATTTGAAGTGGTTTCTGCACGTCTGAATTGGTGATGGCATACGAGGACTTAAATGAGTACAGCTGTTTTTTTTAATCCCTGACTTTTTTACTCGACTTTCTATTTTGACACTGCAACAAGTCGGCTCAAGCTGCAGGTATTGTCATTTGTAGCCCAGGTGTACAGCCATGATTGATAGAGACACTGTGACCTCTTTCTGGACTTTCCAGCAGAGAATTTCACTTCAGCATAACATATTTACCTCCCCCCCCAGCCTCCTCGTCCCATCTATCAGAGGCTTAACCTCCAGAAACAATGTAGTCAGGTTGTATACTCACCGATCCAAAGAGCGTACCTTTCTTGGACATAGCTAAATACAGCCCGTTACTGACAGATTTGATGGCAACAACTCCCACACTGACAGATCGGATTTCCATCAAGCCTGGAAAATGAAAGAGGAGACAACAAAGCCATTGAGTTTGGTCAGTTTTACCATCAAAAGCTTCTCTACCAGTGATTGCTGATTAGAATACCAGACAGCCYTATCCTCTAAGGACAAGACCAAAACAGAAAAATAAATCACAAATTTCAAAGTTAATTGTTTTAAGGGTATAGCACTCGCAGCATTTCAGACAAATGAAATATTAGCACGTTCAAATGATTGTCACAACAAACTCTATAAAGACATATTTTTCATGTTTTTTTTAGCACATACACATGTAACACACAGTCTGAACCTCCACGTTCCACATCTGCTTTCCTACATGCATCCATAAAAACCTTCATGCTCAAGACGTGACACTTCGTCCCGATGACAAGTGTTGCTTACTAAAGGACATAAAGCCCGTGTCTGCTCACCACCTAAGTGGCCTCTCCAAACCACTTAACACCATGGAAAATCTGGCACGCTTGTGAGATAATTGTTTCCTCTGGGTGCTGATTGCAAACAAGTCCCGCAGGTTGTTCTCTTGAACTGCTTTTCGTCTGCAAAAATGATGGACTAAAAGGTATCCAGCCTTCACCACGGCTGTGACAGGAAGAGGTTTCTGACTTGACCTGCAGGCGTATGGTGCGGGGTCCTGAATAGGAGCTAATTGCAGGAGATAAAGAGGTTTCTTTGATAGCATGTTTCTGCTTTCYTTTGGCCACTTACACCTTCAACGGCACTTTGATGTGGCTGCCTGTCTGATCAGAAGCTGAAATCTAATTCCTGACTGGAACTGTAAACACAACACCAAATCAAGACAGAATATGGTGGCCCAGAGTTGGAAGGGGATTGAACACATCCAAGGACGTAACTTTAGGTCTACTATTGGTGGGATTATTCTTGTTGCCTTTTTATTTATTGAATCATTTACTTTTGTAAAATAATTCCAGCTGTTCTGAGGTTAAACTGCATTGTAATGCTTTTACTGTGATTTACTTGACTTTCCTCTTTTAATATTTAAAAGCTAACAAGGTTGAGTCAGCTCCTTTGTGTTCTTCTCTTTATCATTTATCCAAAAGACTTTATCAGTCCGAGTCTGATGAAACATTTGAAGAACCAATCCAGAGGGCCCGACTTCTACCTGGGTTAGATGTTATAGAGAAACTTACTTGCAAGGAATCAGTTTTGTATTGGTAGTAAACAACATCAGAGCTGTTTAAAAGAATCATGGATGAAGTGTTGTGGTGAAGCAAAGGTAAAAGCTACTAAAAGCAGGGCAAATTTAGAACAAAAATTTAAAGAAATGATTACCTTCATGTCTGTCTTGGGGTCACATAAACTGTTAAGAGCAAAAGCCAAGCACACTTTATCACTTTATTTTAATCAGGAAGTGGTTTCTGATATGAAAGGGCTTTAAGGTCAAGCAATGAACCAGTGTCAACACATACACTCAAAAAACAGATGTAGTGGGTTTAATTAAAATAAATTGTCAACTGGCTCCACTCAACTGAAATGAGTTAATGTAAAACATTTACTTTATGTCACATTTTGGCATGGCAATGACCCAGGGCAAAGGCAGAGTTCGGGTGAGCAAAAATCAAAGTATTTATTAAACCAAAATGCTGACGAGGCAGCTGAAAAACTCKCTATGAACGACGTGGCAAAACTATGAGGACAAAGGAAACCGAGACAAGCTTTGCAACACAATGATCCAACAATGCGCCAGAGACGGGACTGAGCTTAAATACACAGAAAACTAARGAGGGAACWGAAAWCACCTGGGGAAAACACAAGGGGAAGCAGGTGTGRGTGGGCGGGGAGCTKATCAGAGAACACAGGGGAAACACTGAAACACTAGGAAAACCAAAACATAAAATGACAGATCATGACACTTTAAGTAAATGTAAACGTAAATAAGTTACCTTTACTCAGTTCAGTTGAGTGAAACCAGTTGATATAATTTTGGAAAATGCATCCTCTACATCTGTTTCTTGAGTGCAGACAAATAATTAAAAAATCTCTTAAAAAGGGATTTTTGGATATTTTGTTTCTAGCAACCTGTCTCAAAAACACAATTTGTTTGCCTTTTTTTTAGTAAAATCTACACAAAAAAAACACCTAAAATAATGCAATTCAACAGACACATAAGCATTTTTCAGTACCAATTGAAGTGGCTCCCAAAGAGCTGAGAACCTGACATGCAGTAGGTTGTCCTATACTGCACAACACAAGAACTGAAGAAAAAAAATTAACAAAAAATGAGAGCGAACACAGCCTGGTTTCACAGAAAACAGASAAAGCTTGAAGAACCACTAATCAAGAAAACTTTAAAACAGGGCTGTTGAACTGGCGGGCCATGCGGATGTGGCCCACGGGGACCACCATTCGGCCCAGCAATGAGTCCCCCCATGCACCCAAAAAAAAGTTGAAATTTTTTACTTTATATATATA